CCTAAATCACTCGTACGCACAACTTAAGAACAAATCTGTGCGTACGAACGGTTCTTGCATGAGGCCCAATGTGCTTTAATGGTTTTGTGACACTAATGATGAAAAAACAGAAAGGTGATTCTGTTTCTGCACTCAGCTATGCAGTTTTACATGTTTGGGGCACCAGATCATGTTTACTGATAGATAATTTAATCAGACTCATATGCACCAAAGTGTGAAATCAAAAGATTGCAGGGAAAACTTTTCATAAGCAACTCAGTGAAGAAACAACCAATTTTTGACTTTTGAAAATTTATTACAAAAACAGTACAATTAAACTTCATAGAATGACATAAAAATAGTAACAATTAGGAAGAAAAAAAGACAAAAATAATAAAGGCTTAGAAAATAATTTAAAGGGAAGTATGGGAAGATACTCAGATTATAGATGTTGTTCAATCTAAGGCAGGGGTGGGCAATCTTGTTCTTCATGGGCCACAGCCCTGCATGTTTTATTGTTTTCCCTGCTCCAATACACCTGACTTACCTCTTCCAGTTCTGTAGAGGCCTGATATTTATCCATTCATTCAAATCAGGACACTTGTTTTGGTCCTTCCATCCCATCAGAAAATAAAACAATACATCACATGGCAGAGTCTCTCTGATTGGTTCAAGCTCTGCGCCCAGCTGCAAAAATTCAGATTTTCCAGCCCTAGCATCTGCCCCTTTGGACATGCTGCATGCACATGTAGCAAGAATGAGGGCAGAGAAGGGTGAAACTGCTTTTGCACTCTGCCACACTGTTTACCTATTGAGGCACCAGACCAGATTTACTGATCAATAATTCACCCTTTAAGAAATCTGACTCATRTAYCAAAGTGTGAGATTGTACGATTCAACGAACTCTTCTCTTAAATGCATTCAATACTCAATGACGAAGAAAAATAATTTTGTCTTTTGGAAATTTATTACAAAAATAGAACAATCAAATTCAAGAAAAATAATAATGGACAAAAATAGTCAAAAATAATAANAAGAGACAAAAATAATGAAGGCTTAAAAATAGTTTAAAGGAGGTTGAGAAATCCTTGTTCAATTTAAGGTTTTAATCTTTTATTAGGTATCAAACTTAAAGGAGATTTTAAATACCCAATGATGAAGAAAACTAATTTT